CTCCAAACTAGACAAGCCCAAAGTCCTCAGCAGCTCCTCACAGGACATGCCTTCTAGTGCTTCCCTCAGCTTTGTTGCCCTCTTCTGGACGCATTCAAGGACCTTCACATCCTTCGAAAATTTTGGGGGCCAGAACTGCACACAGTTTGAGTCAGTGTTTACTTGTTCATAAGTAATATTCAGCCTAGAAAAGGTGGGAATCTCCAAGATTTTGCTTTTTTCCATTCTATTTCAAATACAATGTTATTTCAGTCTTTTCAATTCTTTTGGTTTGATTTTCTCCTTTGCAGCCCTCTGTAGTTTGTAACTGTACGTTTACTGTGCAAGTTTTCTTTAGAAATGACTATAGACTCTTAGTTAAGATTAATAAATAGTTCAAAATATTTCTCAGAGTAGTCTTTTAAAATAATTTATGGGGATTTAGATAGTTTAGGAGGACTTGAGTTTTAAGTCTAAATATATTCCCAGCCCTGACACAAAAGAGGAATTAATAAATTATCAAGAAGTTGAAAACAAATAAGACAGGAGGTCCAAATGGACTTATACTCACATTTTAAAATATTCATAAGAGTTTTAGTATTTATATTAATATACAATAAGTAATAATTTATGAAAGGAGCAGTTATTCCCTATTCTGGAGAGATGTATTAGAACAGAAGATTTAGTGAGACATGTGCACCCAAAACAAATAGGCTTTGTTGGAAGCAAAGATACTGCAATTATATTAGGAGAATTCTTGATCTGGTACAAGATGTGCATCGTCCAATTACTTTGTTTTCCCTTGTTGGTGACTTTTGTCCCTTTTACTGAACAGAATGGAGATGTCTAAGTGTGGTGAATCAGAAAATGGCTTTGATGGTATTTGCATTCTACTTGGACATTAGATTATACAGAACAAGACTGTTGCACAAAAAGTTCATTTCTCAAAAACATGTTGGATAAAAGATGCATCCAGGCAAAAATAGGCTAGTATATCTCCCTTTCACGCTAATCTTGATACACCCATATAAAATTTCCTTTCCTGCACTTCTCATTTACAACTGGATTAAACCAAAGAATTTCTCACTAGAACCTGTCAAACACATAATCCTGCTTAGATTAGAGCAATTATCACCAAATTAGGGTAGCTCTTTTTGAAAGAATAGACCACTAGACATCATAATTTCCACATAGATGTTCCTCTTTTCCAGCAACTTTATGGTAGAAGAATATACATTTATCTCAGTATAGCTTGGAGGAAGAGAAAAAATGTTTTCTAGTAATGTTGTGTTATTTCAGAAAAGATATTTGCTACTCACCTTCGTAGCAGATCACATGAAAATTTATAATTCTTAGAAATCTGGACTAGAAGTCTATTTCTGCATACTACATTATGTGGCGTGGTGATAAACTGTTTTTCACCCATTCAGTTTCTGTATTTTTTTTAAGCAAGTACACGTTAGAACTGGTTTTGTATCAATGCAAAGACTTCAAAGGTTTTTCTAAGGGTTTTTCCACACTAGTTTCTACCTCTTTCATGAGATGGATATTCTCTATATTTAGTGCATTCTGCTCAAAGGACCATATTTGATGCCACTCACACACACACAGACCTCTCCAAGATTATTCTACAGTGTGAACTGCAAAAGTTCACAAAGTCCAAAGTCCAAAGTGGATTTTCAGGGATCTTATATTGTATCATACTTCAGCTTGTTCACTGAAAGAAGAAAGAGGGATCAGAGTCAGAACTGGATATCTTTTGAAGACTGAGCCAGCCCTCCAGCTAGCTATTTTAGAGGGAACTTGAGAGCTTGGAATATTGAGTCTTTGCTATTCTTAATGGAACTGCATTTGATTAGACCACAAGACTATTACATTTAAAAATGAACAGTTAGAAAGCTGTTGGAGATAATACAGTATGTGGTCTAGAGTATGCTAGGTTTTATTTCTTTATTTATAGAAAGATGTTTGTGGGGTTTTATTTGGCATCTGTTTTCCACAGTAATACACTCTGGACTGCTTTGTTATTACACCAGTTTTTACGCTTCAGAGCAGAAGATGGTTTTGTAAGGGCTAAGTGAGGGAGACAAGAAATTAATATTTGAAAATACTCCATGAAATCTGTCCTTTCCACAAAACCAAGCAAAATTGAAGCCATTGTTTAAAAAGAAAAATAAACAAAAAACTATTAGAAAGTACCCTTCTTTTCTTCCACAAGTTCTTTCAGAACTGACTTCTTGGAAGTTTTTGCAATTTTGTCTTTAGCAAGTTACTTATGAGTGTCTCAACAATATAATTGCTATAAACTGATAAAGAAAAAATATAGAAAAAATAAAGGAACATTGTGCTTCCATCCATGTTAGATGACAGCTAACAATGTTAAATCCCTACATTCTGCCAACTGAATAGTCTATTGCATTGAAATGGCTATTGAAAGTCTTTTTACATCTCTTCTGCCATCTTCCTTCTAACTCTGGTTAGCTGGTTTTGATGCTGTTGATCAGTGTATGATCATTATTTTTTCTATGCATACTTCCCTAGGCTTGTTTATATGGATTCCTGCAAATTGAACTATGAAAGCACATCTGCTTTCTCTTAACAGATTTTAATTGCTAGTATAATTGTATAGTTTTATGTCTTTATTATAACAAACATAAAACAGATAAAGATGTAAAAATTATTTTAGGAGTTTTTACTTAAACTATGTTTCAAGGTGGTAGTATTTTGAGAGTTACAGTCATATTCAACCATTTTTTGTGAACTTATTCTTTGACCTCTGTGAAATCTGCTTGGAATAGTACGTATGTTCAAAAAGTTTGATGTGCAGGAGAGTCCAATTGCATAAAGAAATTGGAGTAAAAATAGGTTCAAATCAGCTATGTACAATCCATGTTCTGTGTTACTGCCTAATAGGAAATGGAAGAGCATTCATAGTGGTTCTGTATTTAATGTTACCATTCTGGAACATGATGAAGCACTGCAGAATGTGTGACTACCGTTTACTGTTTTGAGGAGTGCTTTCAGTATAAATTGATAAACCCTCATTTCTTGTAAGTCATGTTCTTCATCACCAAGAGAAATTTTGGCTTATTTGTATATTAATGGCTTATTTGTAAATTTGTTTCCACTGAGACGTGTGAGTCAACTACTCACTGTACTTCACATATACTCTTAAAAGAAAACAAAAGGGAGAGAAGTTGCCAGTGACATTGTTTTTATTTAGGAGCACATAAAAAAAGTTATGCCACAACTTTGGTTGACTGGAATGATACACATACTTAAATTTTAACAGTATTTTTTTTTAAATGGTAAACAAGTGTACATTCAATTGTGTGCAAGACCAACACTGTCAATAACAATTACACTACAGAAAATGAAATGTTTTAAGTATATAGCTGTGAAACCCTTCATATTTTTGGTATTTAACCAGCATTTTTAGAATTAGTCTGCTGAAGCCATTTCATGTGTGGTAAACACTGAAAACAGACCCTGTGGCAAAGTGAATGTAATTATAGTTGCACGAGCTCTGGAGATGAGTAACAGCCCTACTTAAAAGTACTACTTGGAAGCGATGTCTTCTGCAACTTAAATATGAAAGGAATTATCTAACTTGTTGTTATAAAGTCCGTTATTAATAATCAGCCACTTGAACTTGGACAATATTTTCATAAATTTGGGAAAATTACAATTGTTCAATAATTTTCCATGCCACAGATAAAATCACAAGAACTGCTGAGGCTGGATGATTATGTAACCCAGTAACTCGAAGTTCCACTGACTTTACTAATGCTTCTCACAGCTCTTATAAAATCATCAATTTTTTTTTTTTATCAGAGCTGTTGTCAACCACCTAGGTTGGAAGGAGAGAGGTGTGAAAATTCGCAGGCCATGATGAATCCTGAGTATTTTGCAACAGTAAGCACTGAGTTCTGGTAGACCACAATGTCTCTCTACTCTGAAGGGATGATAATAAAGCACAGATGGAATATTTACAATTTTTAGGATAAACTTACTAGCAGACCAGCTGTAACCATTTCTCTTTTTACAAAACCTGCTTTTTAATATCACCTTTTTGTAGGAACATATGGCAAAGCAAATAAAACTGTCTTTTTAGTAAACAAAAGAAGTTTTTGATAAAAACATATAAAAGACAGTTTTATCTGCTGGATGATATACAGGTACCCGTATACAAGCATGTATACTAAACAACAGAAGAGAAGGTGTATTTGAATGTTACAGGCCTGATGTAAACACAGAATAAAAATGACAGTAAAAAGTGACAATATATTAACTCACTCCATCATGCCCAATTATTGCAGCATATATGATATAAAATAATTCAAATGCAGAAAACATCTGCTTATCTTCAAAACCAGGCAAAAGAGATCTCTTTGGAAATGTAGTTAAATTAAAAAAAAAAAGTTTCTAGCCAAGACGTGTGTTACATTTCAGCCCACAAAAGAAATTCGCAGGGAGATTATAAACTCCTGAAAATAGAAGTTTATAATGACAACAGACAATGCCTTCATTACAGTGACATCAATAGAGGCACTGTAACACACACCACTGCATTTGTATTTTCTTTTTGTACAAGTCTACAGCAAATATTTGAAGACACTGTAAAGGTTCATGTGCAGCTTTTCCATTAAAGGTGTGCAGTTCATCAAACTGATAAACAAATATATTTCCTGAAATGTTTTAGAAAATGACAAAATACATTTGACCTAAATATGTAGCATGCACACTAGTTAACCATGTATTAACTAAAGATACTTAAGTGCACTATGAACTGCAGACATGAATGGCTTTTGAAAGCTCAGTAATTTAGCTGAATGCACGCTAAAGAATTGTTTAAGAAGTTGCTTCCAGTTTTGTCTGAACTTCATTTCTTCTCAGAATGAGTTTCACTGCTCAGTTCTACATCTAGTGAGGCCTCTTCAAGAGATAGCTCAACATTAGATACACAGACAGAAGATCCAGGGGTAGCTGTACAGGTAAAGAAAAAAAAGTATTAGGTTTTACACTTAAGAATATCCCTGCTAAAAAGCATCAAAAGCAAGAAAAATGCAAGTTACCTACTGCAGAAACATACACAAAACTATATTGCATCTAATGAAAACAGAAATGCAACGGGATTTTGTTCTAGAAGCCCTCTAAACAGCACAATCATCCAAAAGCACACAGTGTAGCTGGCCAACAGTTCAGACTGAATGTACTATTAACTGAATGCATCATCATGTTACTGGCAGCTTTAGTCAGAACCTGGTCACAGAGCTGTGTGGTAAATGTTCAGAAAACATCTTAGAAATTCTGCCATTTAAATAAATAAATTTCTTTTGCTTGTTTTACTTGGAGATAGCTGGAAATACTGTCATACTTAAAAACATACTTAAAAACAAAACAAACCAAAACCCCATGAATTTTCAGGCCAAAGAAATTCTTTCAAACACTCCAGAGTATAAAAGAAAGTAGCTATTAACACAGTTTTACTGCTAAAACTATTTGTGCAGTGCTATTGAGGTCTCACTGACCCATAAAATGATCCCACTTACATAGACAGGGAATGTCAAGAAATAGCTGCCCTAAGAAATTATGTAGTATATAAAAAAGAATCCTACTGCTGGAAATAATTATCAAGATAGCCATTCTGCCTCTGACAGAAGTTACTTACATAATGTTGGTTTCTCTATTGCTAGCCTTTCAGGCAAAGTTTCAAGTGGTGTTGGTTGAATTTTTGCAGGGGTATATGTATTTAAAGAAATTTTTCTTCCTGACAGTGGAATCATGTAAGTTGGAGTAGCTGAAAGGGGGGGGGATGGGGAGGGGAAGACACACATCATTAATAATAAAAATAGTGTCACTTGAGCAAAATGTCCAAAATAGTAGCCACAGAACTGTGTACCTCTCTAGCAACATAGATGCCACATCTGCAGTTCAGCTACTGATTTTTGACTCTAGTGTCAAAACTTCAAAGCATGAAAGACAAATCTAAAAATTTCCTTTTTACCTCAGGAAGTAACGTGATAATTTCATGCTGCTAAGGCAGCTTAACTGAATTTCAGTAACAGCTGCCTTGCCAGAAGACTGGCAAATGTGCTACTTCTCATAGGTTATGAAGATTGCACTGGAATAGCCTCTTAGTCCAAAATGCCTATGAAAAGTGCATACAACACATTATTCTCTATACAACTTCCAAATGTTACAGGAAAGCAGAGACAGCAAAGCACCTATGGCCTCGATTCTATCAGGTCTAATTTCCGACCACTCTTTTGTAGAAAGGTGACAACCAGACCACCACAGAAGTATGACAGTTTTGTAAAAGTATTTTTTCATCTTGTGTACTCTAAATTCTGGATGGATTTTGAAGAGACATGAACTTCCTAACCAGTGTAACAAAGCATTTTAAATAGCTGAGAACTTTAAAATACCTGTAAGCCTCCCTGAGTCCTTTTTCAGTAACATCAGTTTTCTTAAATTGCTTATCTTCCTTCTCAGGTATAGAAGGCCTAGCCTATCAAATTAGCTGCTGATTCAACTCTAAACTGTATAAAACTATAATAACAGAAAAAAAAGGAAAAATCCTAACATTTAGGTAACGTTTGTATCAGTATTAGCAAGTACAAATTTTCTGATCAAAGCATGAGTCTTTAGACATTTCCTCAAGAAGAATGATTTTCAATCACCTGAAATACTTATTATAAGCATCCTAATGTGGTAAACCTGACCTTACTGAAACTGTTTCCAAAGACACAGCAGTAGAATCACAATGGGAACTCATCTTCCCAGAGATGTGTACATGGAGAGAACTCAGTTTGCATTTCATTTCAAGATCACTTAAACATTAAACATGCAGAACAAATTACTAAAAACCTAAGCAATTGCAAGGCACTCCACAGATGAAACTCCAAGTACAATTGAAAGAAACAGGAAATAAGACATTTTTAAGATGTAAAAGGCTTGTAAAAGGCAACACTACTCTGCTGAGCTTGCTGCCAGTACAACAGCACAGTATAAAGCTGGAAATACTACATGCTCAGTAAAAATCTTTCCTTGAAATTCAGCTAACAGTGTGGACAGTACAGAGAAGTTCTTAATGTGAGGAAATAAACTAATTATGATTCCATTAAATCCTTAATTTACTACCCCAGTCAATAGAGACATTACTTCAATGAATTATGACAGTGCCCATACCACAAAAGGATACTGCAAAAATTAACATTATGGCTTATGTACGTATTTTGGGTTTTTTGAAGCAGTATTCTTAGTTTACTTGTTAGCTGTAAAATACTAGAAAGATTAACTAGACGATACTTAGCAATTTAAAATGAACATAATTATGAACTAAAATCAGTACATGTCTCCTGTAGATTTTCCCTTGATGGAGCAGCAACAGAAGCAAGAAATTCATCCACCTGCTTCAGAGACAAGGAGTTGTGTAGAGTTTCCAAAGGGCAAATAGAAGGCACCATGGAATATAGTTCAAAACCTGAAAGAAAAATAATAATAAAAAAAAGAGATTTCCAAACATAAGACAGGATTGCATGGGCAAGTATTAACGCATGGCATGGTAACAAGTACTATTTTAAATCAGCACATGCAGACAACAGCACTCCTGAAATCATGGACACTAAATATTATAGGAGTTGGAAGAAGATGTGCCAATTTCCAGGGTGTACTAAAGTAAAGGTACCATGTAACATACCATGGGAAACAAATCCCACATACATGTAAAGTGGTCTTCAAACGTTACAAGTGTGCTCTACTCCCAAATCAATTAATGAAAGATAACTTTCCTCTAAGAGAAACTTAGTAAATCATTAATAAAAAATAGTCAGGAAATGGTAGTATTTCTCCTACTCATTCTCCTATCTGGCACAACACTAAACAGAGAACACATTCATGCAAGTAAAATAGGATAGCTATGTTGTCAACTATTAGCAGACAAGAACTAAAAATGCTACAGCTTCCAAGAAATAAATTTGCAGAATCCACATTCTATCATCTTCAGTATTCTGTGAAAACAAACTGTTGCCTTCAATATCAAGGAAAAACCACTGTTAGCACTTTTGTACCGTGAGGTTACATATTTAACTTTGTAAGACAGATTTACACCTACCTTTATGCATTTAAAAACAGTACTTAAAAGACTAGAAGTTTCATATATTAGAACAGGTAAGTATAGCAACCCAAAATCTAAAAAATTATTGGACTTTGCTTTTCTACATTAGTATTGATCATACACCAACCATGCATATCCATATTACTAACATACTAAAAAGCATTTAAACATCTTGGCAAAAAAAAAAAAAAAAAAAAAAAAAAAGAGCAGTTCTTCAAAGTGATGAAATTTT